GGTCGCGGTTTGGGTCGCAGGTTCTCCACCTGGAGCGAATGCATAAGAAACCCGCCGCAGGCGCCGAAATTTCGGCTTGTTCAGTGAACGTAGTTTGGGTCGCGGGTGGGTCGCGGGCTCTCCACCTCCACCTGGAAGGAATTCAACAGCCCGCCGCAGGCGCCGAACAATTTGATTTGTACGTAGCACCCCGCAACTGCGGATAAGAGTGGGGGGGGGGCGGGCGCGGGCGACGCGGGCGCGGGAGTGGAAGGAATTCAAAAACAACCCGCCGCAGGCGCCGGACATTTTGATTCGTGCACTGGTCGCGGTTTGGGTCGCAGGTTCTCCACCTGGAACGAATGCATAAGAAACCCGCCGCAGGCGCCGAAGTTTCGGCTTGTTCAGTGAACGTACTTTGGGTCGCGGGTGGGTCGCGGGCTCTCCGCCTCCACCCGGAAGGAATTCAAAAACAGCCCGCCGCAGCCGCCGAAAATATGGATTTGTACACTGAGCGCGGTTTGGGTCGCGGGTGGGTCGCAGGTTCTCCACCTGGAACGAATGCAAAAGAAGCCCGCCGCAGGCGCCGAAAATTTTGGGTGGGTCGTGGGGTGGGTCGCGGGTGGGTCGCGGGTGGGTCGCGGTGTGTCGCGGGTGGGTCGCGGGCGCGGTTTAGGTCGCTGGTGGTTCGCAGGTTCTCCACCTGGAACGAATGCAAAAAAACCCGCCGCAGGCGCCGAACATTTTGGGTGGGTCGCGGGGTGGGTCGCGGGTGGGTCGCGGGGTGGGTCTCGGGTGGGTCGCGGGGTGGGTCGCGGGGTGGGTCGCGGGTGGGTCGCGGGGCGGGTCGCGGGTGGGACGACGACAACAAACAACAAACAACAAACAACAAATTTCAACAACAACAACAACAACAATAATCCGCATCGCGGAATTCCACTTCCGCCACGCACCTAGGGACAGCGAGTGACCGTTCGGTTCAGCCCCTTCACGCTGACACTGACCGCGGTTTGGGTCGCGGGTGGGTCGCAGGTTTTCCACCTGGAACGAGTGCAACAAAATCCCGTCGCAGGCGCCGAAAATTTTGGGTGGGTCGGGGTGTGGGTCGCGGGTGGGTCGTTGGTGCGTCGCGGTGGGTCGGGGGTGGGTCGCGGGCGTGGTTTGGGTCGCGGGTGGGTCGCGGGCGTGGTTTGAGTCGCGGGTGGGTCGCAGGTTGTCCACCTGGAACGAAAGCAAAGAAAACCCGCCGCAGGTGCCGAACATTTTGGGTGGGTCGCGGGGTGGGTGGCGGGTGGGTCGCGGGTGGGTCGCGGGTGGGTCGCGGGGTGGGTCGCGGGTGGGTCGCGGGTGGGTCGCGGGTGGGTCGCCGGGGGGGTCGCGGGGTGGGTCGCGGGCGGGTCGCGGGGTGGGTGGGTCGCGGGGTGGGGCGCGGGTGGGACGACGACAACAACGAACAACAAACAACAAGCAACAAACAACAAACAATAAACACCAATCAGCAACAACAACAACAACAAGAACAACAACACCAATCAGCAAAAACAACAACAACAACAACGACGACGACGACGACGACGACGACGACGACGACGACGACGACGACGACGACGACGACGACGACGACAACAACAACAACAACAACCACGACGACGACGACGACGACGACGACGACGACGACGACGACGACGACGACGACGACGACGACGACGACGACAACAACAACAACAACAACAACAACACCACCAACAACAACAACACCAACAACAACAACAACCTCAACAACAACAACAGCACCAACACCACCACCAACAACAACAACACTAACAACAACATCAACAACAACTTCAACAACAACAACAACAACATCATCAACATCAACAACAACCACATGAGTCCGCATCGCGGAATTCTACTTCAGCCACGCACCCAGGGACAGTGAATGACCGTTCGGTTCAGCCCCCTTCATTCTGATATATATGTTTATATGTATGTATGTATGTATGCATGCATGCATGCATGCATGCATGTATGCATGCATGCATGCATGTATGTATGTACGTATGTATGTATGTATATATATATATACACATATAAATACTGTGTATATACGCACATATATATTTATATATATATATATATATATATATTTATATATATTTATACACAGAAATCTTGTGTATCGGCCAGCCTGTGTCATGTCAACCCTTGCTATCTCCATTGTGAAGAAGGTTCTGGTGTGAGCTGGGCGAAACGCTCCTCCATGGGTTTGTCCCGCAGCGCCTGGTCGCTCAGTGCCGCCAGGGCCTCGTCGATCTGTCGCTGGCCTCGTCGTCCTCTTCCCCGTCGGCGGAATGCCAGTTCAGGGGCCCCGCTCCTGCAGAGCGCCCCCACGGCGGAGCGGGCCGGGCGCTCCCTACTGGAGTGGCCCACGCCGCGGCGCGCTGAGGCGCTGCGCGCAGACGCGATCGCCTGCCCTCCTGGCGGAGCCAGTTGGGCCAGGCCCCGTGCTTCGCTTCCGTTCCTCGTCAGACATGGCGACTTGATTCTGCCTCCATGCTTCGGCGGCGCGCCCGGGGGGAAGTGGGGGGGCCGGCCTTCTCAGAGGGCGGCGGGGCTTCTTAGGAATTCTCGCTCCTTCTGATAAACCGTCGGCGTCTTCGGAAGAGGCTACGAAAGCTTTTCAGAAGGCTGGAAGCCTGGTGAACCTTCCGAGAAGTTCCGCCCCCTCTGCCCCCCCTCTGGGCTCGCCGCCAAAATTCTGCAAGCGCGCCCGCCGCATTCCTCGTCGCTGGGCCCCTCTTCGTCCTGCCCAGCCTCCGCCTGCGGAGCCGTCGCGTCATCTGCCTTCCTCGGCGTGCGCGCAGTGGTCGGCAGGCCCCTTTGGGCAAGCCGCCTTCGGGGCGGCCGCGGGCTCCTCGGAGGCCCAGCCTCCCGCGCTCGCCGCGGAGCCCGCCGCCTGGCGGTCCGACCCCAGGTGGCCCCTTGCAGAGTCTGGGAGAGCGAAGGGGGAGAGAGACAGAGCGAGAGAGGCTGCCCGCGGCGACAGCAGGGGAGGTGGACTGCCCCCCCCCCTTCGGACTTCCGGGAGCCCGGCTGCGCGCGCGGCCCGCGCGCCTGCTCGTCAGCTCGCTCGGTCGTCGCAGTGTGGGGCCCGAGGCTGGAGGCCCACGTGGCGTGCCCCTCGCAGCCTGGGCAGGGAGGGCGCTCCGGGCGGATTTCTTGGAGCGGCGTTCCCGCCCCTGGCGGCGCCTCCTGCGCCGCCCCTGGCGCGCTCTGCGCGCCAGGGAGGGGCCCCGGGATGCCGCGCTGACTTCAGGTTGGCTCCGACGAGATGCAGCCGAATTCGCCCAGAGGCAGCGCAGAAGCCCTGCGAGGGCTCGCGGCCTGGCTCGCTGTGGGCCCCCGCGCGGCCCCTCGCTTGCGGGGGCTGCGCGCGGGCCGAATCGGGCACGACGACAACCATGCCTGCGGCGTTGGCCAGAGCGTCCCATGGCAGGGCCGGCACGTCCACGTGCCGCGCGGCCATGTCCTTGGTAGCCCGCCCACATGCACGATGCACAGCCTCCCGACGCTCAGGCCACTGACGTGCAGGTGCACTCATCCTAAGCTTAGACCGTGCATGCGCTGTACCGGGCACGTCGACTGAGGAACCCGTGCTCTCGCTGCGCAGCATCGATGGAAGACAGTGGCGTCCCACGCCGAGCCATCCGCCAGCGTGGCAGTGCGGGGCGCCGCGGCTCTTGTTCGGACACCGGGGCGGGCCGACAAAGAAACGCGGGCCAGGCGAAGGGCGAGAACGGGCAGCGAGGAGCCGAGGGGCCGTGGCGCCGCGGCCCATGCTCGAAGGAGGCAGGCGGGGCCCCACCGCGCCCCGCCCTCGGGCGCGCTGCGCGGCCGGCGCTGCGCCCCGCTGCTGCGGGGGTCGCGCCCGTGCGCGCGGCCGGCCGGCGTGCGCTGAGCGGCGGAGCGCGGCGCGAGCGCCTGCCTCCGCAGCAGATGGGGGGGGGGACAGGCCCAGGGGCGCCGATGTATCGGCGACGAGCTCGCGTCGTGACAAAACGCAGTCGGAGACCAGTGCTCCGAGCCACCGCGGATCTCCTCCCCGCCGTGCGCCGTGCGCCGCGGGGCGCGGCTGATGCCGCGTCCTGCGGCGCACGGCGCGCGGCCGCGCGTGGCAGCGCACGCGAGGGCCACGGCTGCCAGACAGCCAGCGCGGCGGAGCGCAGCTGCTGCGCGCGGAGAGGGGATGGGCGCGGACGTGTGGGGAGGGGGGCGGAAGAAGGGATGGGGAGGCGACGGCGACGGGAGATGGTGGGGGGGAGGAGGCGAGGATGGGGGCTGGAGGGGAGAAGGCGGGGGAGGAGATGGGGGAGGGGGCGGGGGGGAGGTGGGGAGGGGAGATGAGACTAGCTAGGTGCGCTCGCGTCATCCCTGACGTCCTACCCCTCCCTCCCATCCCTTACCGTGGCGCAGATCTCTTCCCGACTCGCACAATCGGATGCTGTAGCATGGCGTAACATTACATGGCATGGCATGGTGATGAAGATTAACGCGTAGCATGACATAGCATGGCTTGGCGACGGCCTCAAATGAGGGGGGGGCTTCCGCGGCCCAACAAATCACATAATCGACACCGAATGTGTAATCACTTCCGATAGTTTCTTCGGGGGGCCATTTTTAAATTTTGGGGCCTATTTGGAAGGACCGAAAACCTTGCCGTGGCATGGCACTGGAAATAATGACGCCAGCGCTGCAGCAGGAGCACGATTCGGAACGCGCGGAAGCGCGGAAATGAGGCCAGCGCTGCAGCGAGAGCAGCAGTTCGAAAACAAATCCAAGCGAAAACCCCGTTTCCAGGGATCCTGTTTGTAATCAACCAGTACGCGGAAGGGGGGGCTGGCCATTTCCCAGACGCCACCAGGGGAGAGAGGAGTGTAGTATCCATATTACTAAATTGTGCAGGGGTGAGGGGTGTGAGGGGTGGATGGGGGGGGGAGGCCCCCCAAAGCCCTGGAGGGAAGGCAACGTCATCGCCACCCTGACCGACCGCCGTGGGCCGAGGCAGCATGTGCCGTACCGCGACTCCAAGCTGACTCGCCTGCTGGAGGACCGCTGGGGCCGCCCCCCAGGCGAGGTGTGGTCGCTGCTGGCTGGTCGGGCGCCCCACGGTGGCGCCCCTGCCCACAGCCATGCCGTCGGAGTGAGCCCGTGGCGTCGATCCCGCTCTCCGCTCCCTCCCCCCTGCCGCTGCCCCCCGGCCCCCCCCCCCCTGCCGATGCTCCCCGTGTCCCGCCCTGCCCCCCCCCCCCTGGCCCTTGGCCCGAGCCCCGTGCACGGCCCGCTGGCGCTCTTGCCTCTGCCCCCCCCCCCCCCTCTCCATGCCCATGCCCACACCCCTCCCCCTTCCCACTCCCACTCCACCATCAGTCAACGTTCGCACCAGGCTCCTTTCTCCTCTCACTCTGTGCTGAAGATGTCCCACCCCCTCCGCGCATTTCTTGTTTGTTTAAAGCCAGATGCCATTGTTGGATCTTTTCCAGCGTTTTTTCAAACGGGACGTTCTCGGTGTTTCAAGATGGTGCTCCCGCTGCAGTGTGGGCCTCATCCGAAAATCGGCGCTTTGCTCCCGTCGTTCAGAATGGCGGTCTCGCCCAAGCACGGGCCACATTTCTAGATCCGAGTGCTTCCCCATCGTTGTCGCCCCCTTCCTTTCCCCGTCTCCGCCTTCCCCTGGTCCTCCTGCTCGTCCTTGTTCTCTTCCTTCCTTCCTCCTCCTCCTCCTTCTCCTGCTTCATCCGCAGCCTCATCCAGTGTACGCAGCTCCCCTTTTCTGGTTGCGCATAACACGACGGGGTCCCTCTTGGAGTTCCAGGTCCGCAGTGAGATGCGTCGGCACGGCGCGAGCGCACCTAGCTTGTCCCGCGCCCTCTCCCGCCCCCCCCTCCCTCTTCTCGCCCCCCCGGACTTTGGCCCCGCACGGCGCACGTAGCGGCGCTATGGGGGCGATCAGCGGGGCAGCGCGGGCGTTAGGGAACGAAACGCTTCAGCTTCCACCGTTCGGTGATGCTCAGCAGCCAGTTTTTATCATTCCCCAGCTTCTCAAGAGCATCCGAATGTAAGCCAGTACCAGCGCTGCCGCAAGCTGATTTTGGTTCTGATTCTTCCTTTCCTCCCTCACTAAGCACTCTCCCCCTCTCTAGGAGGAGGAGGAGGAGGAGGAGGAGGAGGAGGAGGAGGAGGAGGAGGAGGAGGAGGAGGAGGAGGAGGAGGAGGAGGAGGAGAGGGTGAGGAGGAGGAGGAGGAGGAGGAGGAGGAGTTGGAGGAGGGAAGGGTTAAGAGGAGGAGAAGGAGAAGAGAAGGAGGAGGAGGAGGAGGAGGAGGAGGAGGAGGAGGAGGAGGACGAGGAGGACGAGGAGGCGGGAAGAGGGGACGGAGTGGAGAAGTTCAGATGAAATCGAGAGGCCGGCGCCGAAACCCGCGCAGGACTCGCTCGGGGGCAACTGCCGCACGACCATGATGGCGATGGTCTCGCCAGTGGCGGAGGTTCAGCGAGGGCGGGGGCGAGGCGAGGTCTGTGAGGTGGGAGGGGTCGGTGGGGGAGGGAGGGAGGGGGCATGCGCCTACACCTCCTCGGCGCCAAGGAGGATGAAGAGGAGGCAGAGGAGGATGAGGAGGAGGATGAGGAGGAGAAGGATGATGATGATGATGATGATGATGATGATGATGATGGTGGTGGTGGTGGTGGTGGTGGTGATGATGCTGCTGATGATGATGATGAGGATGCTGATGATGATGCTGATGATGATGCTGCTGATGATGATGAGGATGATGGTGGTGATGATGATCATTATGATGCTGATGCTGCTGATGATGCTGATGATGACGATGCTGCTGCTGATGATGAGGAGTAACATTAATAATGGCAATCCTAGTGATAGTATCATTATTATTAATTCGAGTCATAGTAATACTAATAATAACACCAATAGTAGTACTACTACTAAGAATAATACGAGTACGCATAATAATAAGGCTATAATTATTATTAATAATATTATTAACATTAGTAGTACTGATAATAGTAATAGTGATAGTAATGGTATTGCGATTATTGTTATTATTATGATAAATATTACGATTATTAGTACTACTAGTTACAATAATAATAATAATACTAATAATAATACGAGTAGTAAACATAACAATCGTACTGCTACTACTACTACTATTATTACTATTACTACTACTGGTCATACTACTATAGAGAATCATCATACTGTAATAATCTATAACAATATGATGATGGAGATAAAGATGATGATCATTATGATGATGCTGCTGCTGATGATGCTGCTGCTGATGGTGATGGTGATGCCTTTAGTGATGAGGATGATGAAGAGGGAAGGACGGAAGGAAGGATGAGTGGTTGCAGACCGGATGGAGGAGGCGGAGGAGGAGGCGGCGGAGGAGGAGAATGAGGAGGAGGAGGAGGAGGAGGAGGAGGAGGAGAGGAGAGGAGAGGAGAGGAGAGGAGAGGAGAGGAGAGGAGAGGGACGATGTATGAGAGATAAAGGAGCGGAGGCAGGAAGGAGGGATGGTGGAATGAGGCACGAAGCAAGCAGGAGGAGGTGGAATCAGGAGGAGGAGGGACGAGAAGGAGAGGAATACGGAGGGCTAGCATGGACGGGGTGAGGCGGTGCCAATCAGATTGCTCGCGCACGAAGTCGAGCGTTCTGTACTGTGGCTTCGGATCGCCGATGTCGCTACCGCGAAAAACCAGTGTCGTCGATAAGCCTGCATCCACGGGGATCGATTCAATGAAGGCCATGCGTGTCTTGGCTTTGCCTGTTCGGGCTCCTTCTTTGTATCGTGGAAGTGCGCCCGTGCGCCTGCGATGTTGCGCCCTGGGACCCCGAGGTCCCCGGGCCTCTGGTGACGTGAGCACGGAGCCATCGGAACCCTGGGGTCGAGCACCCCCAGGGTTTCCCTGGGCACCTGGCATCATACGACGTTCTACTGTGCTGTGCTAAACCGTATGGTACGCTGTGTCGTGCAATGCGACGGCGTGATGTGCAATGGTGTGCCACGATATGTCATGGCATGCAGTAGTACGATATGCTATGCAATGTTGTGCCATGGTATGTCGTGCAATGCTGAGGTATGCAATGTCGAGCTATGCTGCTTTGAAGTCATGTCTATGCCGTGCTTCGCTAGGCAATTACATGATATGTGATGCAGACGACGGTGACGAGTAGGACGAGGATGTGAAGCAGGAGGAGGATGAGGAAGAGCGATGTTCGCCCTGGGGCGCCGCAAAATGACCTCGGCCGATGACGAGGCCGTTTGAGATCCCAGGATGCCAGGGGGGAGATCACGTGCTCGTGGCCTTCACCAAAAGCTACCACCGATGCCATTCACGTCACACCGTGGGTGAGAGGCGTGAGGAGGTGGAGGAGGTGGAGGAGGAGGAGGAGGAGAAGGAGGAGAAGGAGGAGGAGGAGGAAGAGGAGGAGGAGGAGGAGGAGGAGGAGGAAGAGGAGGAGGAGGAGGAGGAGGAGAACGAGGAGGGAGGGAGGAGGAGAAGGAGGAGGAGGAGGAGGAAGAGGAGGAGGAGGATGGGGATGATGGAGTAGGAGGAGGAGGGGGAGGAGGAGGAGGAGGAGGAGGAGGGAGGAGGAGGAGGAGGGCGGAAAGGAGGAGGATGAGGATGAGGAGGAGGAGGAGGAGGAGGCGGAGGAGGAGGAGGAGGAGGAGGAGGAGGAGGAGGAGGAGGAGGAGGAGGAGGAGGAGGAGGAGGAGGGCGGCAGGCGCAACGTAGAGGGAAGGGTGAGAAGGGTGAGGAGTGAGGGGGGAGAACCGAGTTGGAGGAGGAGGAGGAGGCGGAGGAGGAGGAGGAAGAGGAGGAGGAGGAGAAGGAGAAGGAGGAGAGAGGAGGAGAGAGGGAATGGGCAAGAGCGTGACTGAGGAGGGAGTCCGCGGCTGCTGCTGAGGCGTCACGACCCGTTCCACCGCCTCCTGAGAGGAGAGCGGCGAGGTCAGAAGCTGTGGAACGGGGGCGCAACTTGAGGAAACCGTAACTTGTTAAGGCGCGTGGATTTGCGACGAGTTCCATTTCGAATCGATTCGGCGCGCTCCGTCACCAAGTCAGGCGTCATTGGTCTCAAGTTTCGTTGGGGGTGCTTATCCGATCCGTGAATCTGGCTCCCGCGCGCCAGATCCACGAATCCCTAATCCATGTTAGCGTGTGCCCGAGACGTGAGCAAGGGACACCGAGAGAGGCACATTGACAGATGAGGAATGAGGACAGAGGAAGGAAGATGCTGAGGAGGATGAAGAGGATGATGAGGAGGAGGAGGGGGATGAGAGGCAATGTTGATGACGATGATGCTGATGATGCTGATGACGATCATGATGATGATGCTAATGATGGTGATACTGATGATGATGCTGCTGCTGATGATTTTTCTGCTGCTGATGCAGACGCTGCTGATGATGATGGTTGCTGCTGCTGATGATGATGCTGGTGGTTATGATGGTACTGCTGATTCTGACGATGACACTGATGATGATGACGATGCTGGCGATGATGATGTTGTTGATCATGCTGATGCTGATGACGATGTTGAGGATGCTGATGATGCTGCTGATAATTTGATGATGCTGTTGTTGATGATGCTGATGGTGATGATGATGAGGATTATGATGGTGAGCATTGGGATGCTGACGATAATGATGATGATGACGATGATGATGATGATGCTGATGATGATAATGCTGATGATGATTCTGATGATGACGGTGATGGTGCGGCTGCTGTTGTTGCTCCTGACGATGATGTTCAGGCTGCTGCTGCATGCATGGATAATTATACTGCAGATGATGGTGGTGGTGGTGGTGGTGGTTATGGTGCTGTCGCTGCTGATCATGACGACGATGACGACGATGATGATGATGATGATTCTGATAATGATAATAGTGATGATGATGATGATGATGATGATGATGATGATGATGATGTTTGTGGTGGTGGTGGTGGTGGTAATGATGATGATTATGATGATGATGATGATGATGATGATGATGATGAGGATGATGATGATGATAATGATGATGATGATGATGATGATGATGATGATGGTGATGGTGATGGTGATGTTGATGATGATGATGTTGACGTTGACGCTGATGTTGCAGATGATGATGTCGATGATACTGCTGGTGCTGATGCTGATGATGATGCTGATGCTGCTGCTGCTGATGATGAAGATGATGATGATGATGATGATGATGATGATGATGATGATGATGATGATGATGATGATGATGATGATGATGATGATGATGATGATGATGATGATGATGATGATGATGATGTTCATGATGATCATGATGATCATGATGATTATGGCTACTGCGTCGCGCGGCAAACGCCGTTGCTGGCTTTTGGCCGCTGTCGTTGGCTCTGCGCGGGCTACGGGGCAGGCGGCGCGGTGCCCGCGCGCCCAGCGGCTGCGGGGCTGTGCGGACGGCGAGACGCGAGGAGGTGATCCTCGACTTTGAGATCCATGGATCTTCAGCGATGTCACGGTGCGCTACGGCGGGCCAGGCGACGTCGAGGGGCTCCGGGCCGCCGTGGCGAGGGACGGCGCCGTCTGCAGGGCCGCCGAGGCCGATAAGCACGCCCGGTACCCAGCTGGGCGAGCGCCGTGGCGGATGGTGCTGCTCGCGCTGGAATCTTGCGGCCGCTATGGCCCAGCGGCCCTCCGCCGCCTGCGGCGGCTCGCGCGGGACCGCGTGCAGCTGCTGGCTGGGGACCACGCCGCGCCCTCGCGCGCCGCTGGCGCGCGTAGCTGTCGGTGGCCTTCCGCGCGGCCACGGCGCGCCAGCTGCGGACGGCGCCTGGGGCCGAGGCGGTCCGCCCAGGCAGGCGGGCTGCCCTGGCCGCGGCGTTCGCCACCTGAGCTGGCGCAGCGCCTTCAAGATGCTCCTTGTTGCCTAGTGGCCCGTCGCCGTCCTGGAGAAGGACAGAGCGGGCGCCGGCGCGGGCGCGACAGACCCGCGCCGCAACCTTGCAGGATGAGGGTGAAGATGGTGATCTTTGTGGTGATGGTGATGATGAGGACGATACTGGTGGTGATGATACTGATGCTGCTGATGACGATGATGGTGATGATAATGGTGGTGATGATGATTGGGAACATGGTGACGATGATGATGAGGACTCAGATGGTGGTGATGATGGTGGTGATGCTGATGATTAGGATGATGGTGATGATGCTGACTATGATGGTGCTGAGGATGCTAATGCTATCGATGATGAAGGTGATGATGGTGATGATTATGATGCTGATGATGATGATGGTGATGGGGAGGATGACGAGGAGGTGGAGGAGGAGGAAGAAGAAGGGCAGGAGGAGGAATATGAAAAGGGACGAGGAGGAGGAAGAGGAGGAGGAGGAGGAGGAGGAGGAGGAGGAGGAGGAGGAGGAGAGATACCAGGAAAAAGACGGACGAGGAGGGAGGATGACGATGGTCATGAGGTTGACCAGGATGATGGCCGCGATAATGGCGGGGACGACGATGACTGTGATCATGATTGCGATGTGTTGGACATATTTGTGGTGGTGTCGGGGGGAGTAATTGTGATGATCGTGAAAACGATCCTGATTGTGTCGAGTGTGTTGTTCGTGATGGCGACGATGATGTGGATGACAATACTGCTAATGATGACCGTGCAGGTGGTGGTGGTGGTGGTGGTGGTGATTGGCGGTGATGCTCATGACGATGACGATTACGACGAGAATTATGATGATGAGTCTGCTTATGATGGTATGGTGATTGTGAAAGGGAGAGTGGAGGAGGGAGGAGACGATGGGTGATGCAGATCATGCAGGTCGGGGGGGTGAGCAGTGGGTCGGAGGAGGAGGAGTATCGGAGGTGGCGTGGGAAGGAGGGGAGACGGGGTAAACAGGGGGTCGTGAAGGGATAGCAGAGCTGCGACGGTGCGACGGTGCCCGCCGGCTTTGTGTTACCCCCATCCTGCGCGCCGTTGTCTCCATACCGGACCCTCCCCTCCCCCCCCTCTCCCCCGTCCTACCTGCGCAGTTATGAGGAGAAGGAGGGGCGAGGGAGGGGTATAAAGAGGAGGAGGAGGAAGAGGAGGAGGAAGAGGAGGAGGAGGAGGAGGAGGAGGACGAGGACGAGGAGGAGGAGGAGGAAGAGGAGGAGGATGAGGCGGAGGAGGAGAAGGAGGAGGAGGAAAATAGGAGGAGGATGATGATGAGGAGGAGGTGGGAGGAGGATGAGGATGAGGATGATGATGATGACGAGGAGGAGGAGGATGAAGATGCGGAGGAACACGACGATGAGCAGAAGAAGATGAGGATGCTGATGAGGATGCGGATGATGATGACGATGATGATGATGATGATGATGATGATGATGATGATGATGCTGATGCTGATGCTGATGCTGATGACGATGATTAGATACTGATGATGATTATGATGATGCTGATGCTGATGCCGATGCTGATGAGGGTGATCATGATGCTGATGCTGTTGCTAATGATGTTGATGATGATGCTGCTGCTGTTGATGATGACGATGATGATGATGCTGATGCTGATGTTGATGATGATGCTGCTGCTGATGATGATGATGATGATGATGGTAGTGATGATGCTGCTGATGATGATGCTGCTGATGATGATGCTGCTGATGATGTTGATGATGCTGATGATGTTGATGTTGATGTTGATGCTGATGCTGATGACGATGCTGATGCTGATGCTGATGATGATGCTGATGATATTGATGAGGATTATCATGATGATGCTGATGCTGATGATGATGCTGATGATGATGCTGATGATGATGCTGATGATGATGCTGCTGATGATGATGATGCTGATGATGATGATGATGATGATGATGATGATGATGATGATGATGATGATGATGATGATGCTGATGCTGATGATGATGAGGATGAGGATGAGGATGAGGATGAGATGAGATGATGATGATGATGTGATGCTGCTGCTGATGATGAGCAGGAGGAGGAGGAGGAGGAGGAGGAGGAGGAGGAGGAGGAGGAGGAGGATGTGATGCTTATGCTGATGATGAGGAGGAGGTGGAGGAGGATGATGAGGAAGGTGGAGGAGGAGGGGACGGGGAGGAGGATGGGGAGGACGAGGAGGAGAAAGTTGTGGATACTCCCTCCTTCTTTCTCCTTACGCCTCATCGCATCGACGGGGAGAGAAACGATGCCTGGGCAGGGCAGGCGTTCTCGGAGGCCATGTCGACGCTGAAGTTCGCGCACCGCGCCAAGGCGAGTTCAGAGGAGGAGGAGGAGGAGGAGAAGGAGGAGGAGGAGGAGGAAGAGGAATAGGAAACGGAGGAGGAGAGGGAGGGAGAACAAGGAGCAGCAGCAGCAGCAACAACAGCAGCAACAGCAGCAGCAACAGCAGCAGCAGAACAGCAGCAGCAGAACAGCAGCAGCAGCAGCAGCAGTATGATGAGGAGGAGGAGGATGCGGAGGAGGGTGAGGAGGAGGAGGAGGAGGAGGAGGAGGAGGAGGCGGAGCAGGAGGAGGAGGAGGGGGAGGGGAGGGGAGGAGGAGGAGGAGGACGAGGAGGAGGAGGAGAGGAGAGGAGGAGGATGAGGAAGGGGAACAGGATGCGGAGGGGGGGAGACGAGGAGGAGGAGGAGGAGGAGCAGGAGGAGGAGGAGGCGGATGTGAAGGAGGCGGAGGAGGAATAAGAGGAGGTGGAGGAGGCGGAGGAGGATGACGAGGACGAGGAGGAGGAGGAGGAGGAGGAGGAGGAGGAAGAGGAGGAGGAGGAGGATGAGTAGACGGATGCGGAGGCGGCGGTGGAGGCGGAAGCGGAGGCGGATAACGAGAAGGAGGAGGAGGACGAGGAGGAGGATGCGGAGGAGGCTGCGGAGGCGGAAGCGGAGGATGATGATGTTGACGAGGAGGAGGAGGAGGAGGAGGAGGAGGCGGATGTGGAGGCGGTGACGAATGCGGAGGATGAGGCGGATGATGATGACGATGGGGATGATGAGGACGATGCTGCTCTTGCTGACGATGATAATGATGCTGCTGCTGACGATGATGATGTTGATGCTGATGAGGATGCTGAGGCTGATGATGATGATGCTTCTGATGATTATGCTGATGATGGGGAGACGGGGGAGGAAGAAGCGGAGGAGGAAGAAGAAGAGGAGGAGGAACCGGGGGATGAATACGAGGAGCAGGAGGAGGAGGAATACCATGCTGAATAAGATGATGATGAGGAGGAGGAGGAGAATGAGGCCGATGACGAGGACGACGACGAGGACGAGGCGGAGGAAGGATATGATGAATATGAGGAGGATGATGATGAGGATGAGGCGTTGGAAGAGGAGGATAAGGAGGCGGAAGAGCATGGGTAGGCGGATGATGCCGATGCTGGTTATGATGCTTCTGATGACGAGAATGCTGATGCTGATTCGGATGATGATGCTGATTCTGATGATGCTGCTGATGATGCTGATGCTGGCAATGATGATGATGATGCTGGTGATGATGATGATGCTGATGATGATGCTGATGATGATTATCATGATGAGGATGCTGCTGCTGATGATGATGAGGCTGTTGCTGATGAGGATGTTGTTGTTGATGCTGCTGATGATGATGGGCATGCTGATGATGCCGATGGCGATGCTGCTGATGCTGATGCTGATGTTGAGTATGACTGTCATTGTGATGGTGATGCTGGTGCTGCTGCTGCTGATGATGAGGATGTTCATACTGCTGATGCTGATGATGATGCCGATGCTGATGTTGATGCTGATGATGATGTTGATGCTGATTCTGATGATACTCCCGCTGCTGCTGCTGATGCTGATGCTGATGATGATGCTGCTGACGATCATGATGCTGATGGTGATGCTGTTAATGATGATGTCGGTGACGCTGCTGGTGATGATGGTGACGATGATGATGATGATGTTGATGATGATGATTTTGACGCTGTTTCTGATGATGCTGTCGATGATGATGATGCTGATGGTGGTGGTGATGTTGATGCTGCTGCGGATGATGCTGATGCTGAGGATGCCGATGGTGATGATGATGCTCATGATGCAGCGGATGATGCTGATGCTGCTGATGCTGCTGCTGATGATGACGATGATGCTGATGCTGATGATGATGCTCCTAAGGCTGATGATGCTGATGATGGTTCGGATGCTGATGCTGATGACGATGATGCTGATGCGGATGATGCTGATCATGATGCTAATGCTGATGATGATGCTGCGGCTGATAATGAGGATGATGATGCTGACGATGATTCTGATGCTGCTGTTGATGATGCTGATGATGATGAGGATGATGTTGCTGCTGCTGATGATGCTGATGTGGTTGATACCGGTGATGCTGACGATGCTGGTGATGCCGCTGACGATGACGATGACGACGATGATGGTGATGCTGATGCTGATGCTGATGATGATGATGATGCTGATGCTGCTGCTGATGATGCTGATGATGATGAGATGGTGATGATGCTGATGATGATGATGATGATGATGATGATGATGATGATGATGATGATGATGATGATGATGACGATGCTGATGATGATGATGCTGATGTTGACGATGCTGATGATGATGATGATGATGATGGTGATGATGATGCTGCTGATTGTGATGATGATACTGCCGATGATGACGTTGATGCTCATGCTGATGCTGATATTGATGGTAATGATAATGATGATCATGGTGCTACTGGTGATGAATCTGATGAGGATGATGCTGATGATGATGCTGATGCTGATGATGATGCTGATGCTGAGGCTGCTGCTGCTGCTGATGCTGATGATGATGGTGATGCTGATTCTGATGTTGATGCTGATGCTGATGATGCTGATGCTGCTCATGATGATAAGGCGGAAGAGGAGGCGGAGCAGGAGCACGAGGAGGATACAGATGATGATTATGATGATGATGCTGCTGCTGCTGCTGCTGATGATGATGATGATGATGATGATGATGATGAGGAGGAGGAGGAGGAGGAGGAGGAGGAGGAGGAGGAGAGGAGGAGGAGGAGGAGGAGGAGGAGGAGTGGGGAGGAGGAGGAGGAGGAGGAGGATGGAGGAGGATGCGGAGGAATAGGATGGGAGGAGGAGGAGGAGGAGGGGAGGAGGGGGAGGAGGAAGGAGGAGGAGGCGGAGGCGGAGAGGAAGGAGGAGGTGGAGGAGGAGGAGGAGGAGGAGGAGGAGGAGGGGAGGATGAGGAGGAGGGTCGAGGAGGAGTGAGGAGGAGGAGGGTGATGAGGAGGAGGAGGAAGGGAGGAGGAGGAGGGCGGGGGGATGAGGAGGAGGGAGCAGGAGGAGGAGGAGGAGGAGGGAGGAGGAGGAGGAGGAGGAGACAGGAGGAGGAGGAGGAGGAGGAGCAGGAGCAGGAGGATGAGGAGGAGGAGGAGGAGGAGGATGAGGAGGAGGAGAGGCGGAATAGGGGGAGGATAATGAGGAGGGGAGGAGGAGAGGAGGAGGAGGAGGAGAAGGTTTAAGGATGCGGAGGAGGAGGAGCTGGAGGAGGGGAGGAGGGGGAGAGGGGGAGGAGGTAGTAGGAGCAGGATGAGGAGGATAATACACAGGAGGAGGAATCTGTTGGAGGCGGAGGATTGAGGATGAGGATGAGGATGAGGATGAGGAGGAGGAGGAGGAGGAGGACACTACTACTATATGTTAAATACTACGGAGACGACGGTGAGGAGGGGGAGGAGGAGGATGACGAGAAGGAGGAGGCGGAGGAGTGGGAGGAGGAGGAGGAGCGAGGATCGGTGTGAGGGGCGGGGGGGAGGAGGATGCGGCGGGATTGCCAGGATGAAGGTCAGGCCGAGGAGGCGGAGGAGGGGGAAGGGGAGGAGGAGGAAGAGGAGGAGGAGGCGGAGGAGGAGGAGAAGGAGGAGGTGGAGGAAGAAAAGGAGGAGGAGGGGGAGGAGGAGGAGGAGGAGGGGGAGGAGGAGGATGAGGACAAATAATGGTACCATGACGAATTACACGGTTATTCGTTGCACTAGTCACAATACTGTTTCGAGTTGTATTGACAGGACTCGTGCGAATACGAATACGAACTACTATTGCGACTGCTATTCATGTTAATACACCGGACACGACGAGTAATACGACGAGTGCGGCGACGACTCAGAAGACTCCGTACACGTCGAATAGTAATAAGACGATGCATGCGAACAGCATTATGTATAATAATAGGAATAGCAATGTGAGCCATAATAACAGTATTGTGACGAAGGAGAAGACGGACACTACGATTAATAAGAAGTCGAACATGACAACCAGTAAGCATATCCCCCACACTAATACGAATCGTATTCATACCAATAAGCACAGTACTACTGATAATAGTACTGTTAAGGAGAAGGCGAATCACACGACGACGAATGCGAATACTCACACTAATACTAATACTGCGACTAAGAATACTAAGGCTACTAATGGTACTAGTAAGAAGAACAATGATACGACCACTATCAGTACGACTCGCCATAAGAAGACGAAACAACCATTTCATAAGACGAACGCTAAGACGACTACGCGCACTCACAATACGGATGTTACGAATAATACGACTAGCACGCATACTAACAATACTGACAATACCAATAAGGCGATTCAGACGACCACGAATACTAATAAGCATATAAAGACGACGAGTGCGAGTACTCATGCCACTGCTACTGCGAATGCTATTGGTACTACGAAAATGAAGACACATACAACTACCCAATACGAATAATACTACGACGACGAAAGATACTATTACCAACACGAGTAGTACGACCAGTCTGCATCATCACAATGCTAAGAGGAGAAATGTTAATACTATGCGAATCAGAACAATCACCACAATCCTAATACTAATGCTAGTACTAAACATACCACGGAGAAGAACATGACTCATATTAGTAAGAGGAGGAGGAGGAGGAGGAGAAGGAGGAGGAGGAGGAGGAGGAGGGGAAGGAGGAGTGGAGGAGATGAGGAGGAGGATGCGGAAGAGGAGGTGGTGGACGAGGTGGTGGAGGAGGGGGCAGGGGGAGGCAGGGGGAGGGAGTGGGACGATGGCGACGACGACCAGGACACGTAACATGAGGAGGACGATGATGAGGGGTGGGGGGGTGGGGGATGGTGGAAGGGGGCGAGGAGAGTGAAGGAGGAGGATGATGTGGAGGATGGTGCGGAGGAGGACGAGGATTGTGCGGGGGGGGGGAGGGGGGGGGGCAGGAAGAGGAGGAGGAGGAGGAGGCGGAGG